TGATTTGCGATACAGCAGTGAACAGCTGAACCTAAGAGGGAAGGCATTCAATAAACAGATGAGCTATATGTTTTTCCTCAGTGTTTTTGTAACCCACACCTCTACTTTTCATATACCTGAAAATCTCCCATTCGCCCCTTACGTGTTATTTAAAATTTCAAAATTGAGTGTGATTAAAATTAATGAAAGCAATAGTAATTTTAGAAGGAAAAAAATTTATTCAGATGAGGTGATAGCCATGTCACTGTTAAGCCTGAACTTTTCTTTCCTGGGTGGTGTAAAAGGTTCAAGAAAACAAGCTGCTTTTAATAACACTCTTGCAGTCTTTTCTCCCCAGAGCTAGATATATCAAAACATTAAAAAATTAAAAAGTTTTCGAATAAAGCTTTTTCATCTGTTTAGTCATTTTATACCCAAGTTTCTCTAGAGTATTTATCTGGAAGTTTCTAGTCAAAACAATTAGACTTTGAGTTTCACAAACTCCTCTTGAAGCTCTTTCAGTGAGGCCTGCACATCAGTATGAAACACATTCTTTCCAAAAGCTACCATAGGTAGATTTTAGGAACAAGCTCAGGAGAACATCACTCAAAATAATTCCAAGTATTTCACTTTTTTCCTTCAAATGACATTCATGAATCTGGTCCTCGAAAGACTAGTCAAGAAAATTAGACATTTTTTAGCATTAGTTTGCTCATACATACATATGCTATATTCTTATGTCTATTTTTGGCAAGTTTTGATGTTCATTATGAAATGAACACAGCGAAATTGGTGTTTGCCCCTTGACATTTCAATGTCAATGTATTTTAAGCTTCAGTGTGTTAAAACTCTGCTGAAAATTTTTAACTTTTGAAATGTTCAAGTATAGATTCTTTTTAATTGTTCTTCCAACCTTGGGGTTGTTCTGTCCACGAGTTCAGCAGAATCCATTTTTCTTTGACAACCAAGAAACTTCAATATGTAACAGAAAACATGGATTGGCATTTAGATCTTCAAAAAGCAGGGCAAACTGGAATGGATATACTGTTTCTCACAATGGTCTATGCTGACAGCAAGGCTGAAGATTTCCAGTAGGTTATGGGTTATCAGTGAAAGTTGATGCTTGGTTGTGACAGCTGCAGTATATCTTGAATGCCAGTTTTCTTCAATCTTTGCCAAAAACCCAAATTTAACACAGTTTGCTGTATTGCCATTAATATATACTGCTATAAAATTTCCTCCAGCTCAGTTCATTTGATACAGCTGCAAGTCTTTGGTGGTCAAGTAGTAGGCTCACAAAAACAGCACATACACAGTTTTGAAAGCCTTATTCTGAATGTAAGCAAAATACAGTTTTCTTCATCAGTAGATTCATCACAACTAACAGCAATGAAGGATGAGCCGATGTTTTTTTTTTTGAGACAGAGTCTCGCTTTGTTGCCCAGGCTGGAGTACAGTGGTGCAATCTTGGCTCACTGAAAGCTCCGCCTCCTGGGTTCATGCCATTCTCCTACCTCAGCCTCCTGTGAGCTGATATTTTTTAAGATATGAAGTTTGATACATTCAGTCATTAATTCAGAGTTAAGACTGCAGAAGTAGATGAAGAAATTCTGGAATTATTTATTTGTGGCAGCACTCAGAATGCAAGGTTTCACAAGTTTCTCCATTTTTTTCTCCTTTGCAATTAAAAGGGCTATTTAATATTAAGCTTTCATGGCTTTGAAGATTCCTGTGAATATTTCAATGCTGTCCAGTCTTAAAGCTGCAGAGAATCGGGCTTTGCAGAACACTCCACTGTTTTTAATGGCATGAATTTAGCAGTGTTTGGCATGGTGTCACTGCCCAACACTTTCAGATAACTCAAACTGAAGAAGTTGACCCTATCTTCTGCATAATAACATGAATATATACTTGCGAAAAGCCTCAAAATTTTTTTTTGGCTGCCATTTTTAGCTACCTCAAAGGAGATAAGAGAAAAACAAGGAGTACTGATGATGGAAGCATCTGGTCCCTCTTGCAGGGTGATGAATGATTTTATTGGTGGCAGCTGGGTGGCAGGACAATCCAGGCATCCAGTTACGCCTGGGCCCCAATAAGTGAAATCTTTGTTCATTTTCTTTTTATACACGTGTCTGCTTCCTACAACCTGACACCATTTAGTGGTGCCCTTGGTCATATCTAAATGATCTTACTTTCATAATCCTTTGATTCTAGCTTGCAGAGTCAAGACGAACTCTAACTCATGGGATGGACAAACTGGAAGATGTAAAATAAGTAAGGCTTTCTGGGCCAAAAAGCCTCTTTTTACACAAAATCAAATTTTAAAAGAACATTGACCTCAAAACAATAACACCGTCCTGGTTATGCAATAGAAATAGCTATATAAATGGAATCATATCCTTAATGAACACCTCCTGTGGCTACCCAACTTTTCACACATCTTATTGATTATAGGCCTTGCTGTGAATGCTTTCTTGCTCTATCTGAAGTATTCCCACCAAAGAGCTGTTTCCAACTTTATTTCCTATATTATGAAAAATGAAGTTTTTTCAACATTGTAACAAAGTATATGATAATGTATACTATATTAAATAAACCATTATACAAAAATAGTTCCTTGTACTGTTAACTATTATTATGACTTTGGTCAGTAAAATTCTAAATCATGCAACTATAATTTACATGTTTACCAATGGAAGGAAGTGACAATGAACTGCATAAAGAATGAAAGAGACAGCGGGGCGCGATGGCTCACGCCTGTAATCCCAGCACTTTGGGAGGCTGAGGCGGGGGGATTACGAGGTCAAGAGATTGAGACCATCCTCGCCAACATGGTGAAACCCTGTCTATACTAAAAATGCTAAAATTAGCTGGGCATGGTGGTGTGCACCTGTAGTCCCAGCTACTCGGGAGGCTGAGGCAGGAAAATCGCTTGAACTCGGGAGGAGTAGGTTGCAGTGAGCCGAGATCGCACCATTGCACTCTAGCCTGGTGACAAGTGAGACTCCATCTCAAAAAAAAAAAAAATTGTGTCTTAACTGTGCACTTATCAATATTTACTATAAAATGGGGGAAGGGGATGATGATAAAAGTTAGCAGAGGAGGGCCGGGCACGGTAGCTCATGCCTGTAATCCCAGCACTTTGGGAGGCCCAGGTGGTGGATCTCCTGAGATCAGGAGTTCGAGACCAGCCTGGCCAACATGGCGAAACCCCGTCTCTACTAAAAATACAAAAATTAGCTAGGCATAGTGGTGCATGCCTGTAATCCCAACTACTAGATGTGCTGAGGCAGGAAGATCGCTTGAACCTGGGAAACAGAGGTTGCAGTGAGCCGAGATCGTGCCATTGTACTTTTGCCAGGGCAACAGAATGAGACACCATCTCAAAAAAAAAAAAAAAGTTAGCAGAGGAATGGAAGATTCTCTCTTTTCCTCAGCTTCAGTGTACTAAGACCCAGAAGCATAGGACATAAGTTTTTTCCATGGGATAATTTAGTTATTACTTTGGGTGAAAACATGGTGCTAGGATTTGTCCTTAAAGTCAGACTAGTGTAACAGAGGTAGCAGTGATTTATGGTTAGATTTGTGTCTTAACTGTACACTTACCAATATTTGCTATAAAATGGGGGCAGGGGGTGATAATAATATCTACTATATGAAGCCTATAGGACAGTGTTCTGTGTGTTTTGACTGCAACTCAAAGTAAGCATATTTTTAGACTAAGTATACACATGTATGTATATAACTTAAAAGTTTCATAAAGCAATACTTACCCTTACTATGTCCATGTGTTCTAATATTTTCTCTTATTTCATTTTGAGGTAATGCTAGGCGTGACCCATTTATTTTATTTTAAGACCCACTAATTGGTCAAAAAACTCAATTTGAAAACCACTGCTATAGGAGAACAAGAGGAAATACATTTTATAAACTATAAAGCACTACTAAGATGTGAGCAACTGCTGCTGAATATCCAGGTCAACCTTTATGGGCCTGAAGACAACCTCTCTTTCGTTTGGGCACTGCCAGGAATCAAATCTACCTAGACTTTTGGTAAGGAAGATGGTACTCATTGTCATTGAGACAATTATCTAATGCTTAGAAGTCAAGACTAGAAAGCAAGGCATTAACCATATCAGCACCCAAACAAGGGGAGACAAGTTACAAGAAAGCCAAATAAAACAGCAAACATTTGTTTAGTGCTTTATGGTTAACACATGTGATCTCTTTTAATCCTTACAATCCTAGGGAAAAAGTGAAGCTCAAGGAGGTTGACACCTGTCCAAGACTAGACAGTAAGTGGCAAAGCCAGGTCACCTGATCCTAAATCCCACACTCCTTCCACTATGATAAAATACCAGGAAAGAAAAGTGATCAGGATATGAGGCACATTCTGATCCATCAAAGATGCTTTGCCTTGCTCTAGAAGGAAAACGGATCCTACTCAAAGTAGGATGCAATCCCAGACTTTCAGAGGAGGGTGTGGCCAGTTGCTACCAGTAGTCTAGTGTGGGGAAAAGAAAGAGATCAGCCTGTTACTGTGTCTATATAGAAAGAAGTAGACATAAGAGACTCCATTTTGTTCTGTATTTGAGATGCTGTTAATCTGTGACCCTACCCCCAACCTTGTCCTTGCAAGAGACATGTGCTGTGGTAACTCAAGGTTTAATGGATTTTGGGCATGCAGGGTGTGTCTTTGTTCCTAGAAAAGCTAGGTATTGTCCAAGGTTTATCCCCATGTGATAGGATGAAACAATGTTGCTAAAAGGTTTATCTCAAGGCACAGGATTTTCCTTTAAACTTATTCATGTCACAGAGATCTTTGTTCTTATGTCTTACTGCTAATTTCCTCCCTAAAAACGGTCCTATTGTCCTGCCACTCCCTTATCTTTAAGATGGTAAAGATAATTATCTATAAATACTAAGGGAACTCAGAGGCCGGTGCCGGCGTGGGTCCTCTGTAAGCTGAGCGCCGGTCCCCTGGGCCCCCGCTTTTCTTTCTCTATACTTTGCCTCTGTGTCTTATTTCTTTTCTCAAGTCTCTCGTTCCACCTAACGAGAAACACCCACAGGTGTGGAGGGGCAGGCCACCCCTTCAGTCTAGGACTCACACCTGGCATTTCTGTCTACCAATATATCTATTTTGACACTGTTTGTGCTGAGGTCCCAAATGTCTATTATCTCCAAGTACTGTGGCTTTCTATTCCTATCTGTACCTGTCCCAGGGACTTGGTCAAGGACTCACATTAGAGAGAAATGAAGTACTTACTGGGTATCTGTTACTCGTGTCCCACGTACTTAGGTAGACAAGACAGTATTAGCAGTAGTGGTCCGCTTCCAGTGACCATCATATTATTTGTTCAGCTTCCTCTGGGGAAGCCAATCTGCCCCAGCCTTCATGGTTTTGTGTCTCTTTTTTTACCCATATGACCATCTCTCTCCACTGTGTCTCCCTCATCAAATAAAGAGTTTAGCAACTAAGTAGTTGAGGAGGTGGGAAAGAATGCTACACATTCCCCAGCTCTCCTAGTTACCTTTCCACTCCCTTCAGCCCCCCACATTCCCTCATTTCTCTCACCTGGTACTCCTGAACCACCTCCTCCAAAGGCACCACGCTGTGCTGTTTGTGGCTCCTGGATTCTCGGCACACCACACAGATGGCCTCTTTGTCCACCTCACAGAAGAGTTTCAGGGCTTCCTGATGTTTGAAGCACATGCCCTGATCATTACTCCGGTTCCCCCGACAAGGAGTGGGGCACATCTGGCGAATTATCTGGACCATGTTGGCCAGCTGCAAGTTGGGACGAAAGCTGCGACGTGTGAAGTTCTTTCGGCACTGGGGGCAGGTGAACTGCCCTGGAAGGGGCGAGGAAGGAGGCGGGTGGATGTCAGGATACAGCTCTTCATCTTCGTCCTCATCGTATGCTTTCAGTATTTCTTCTTCTCGGTAGACATCAATTCTCAGGTCAGGTCTCAAGCCTCCTAGGTAATAGTCCTGATTTTCCTCTTCTTCTTCCTCCTGGTCCCACATATGGTCTACGTTGTCCCAATTAGTTATACCACTGTCACCGAGCCAGAGTTCACCGTCCTCTTGGTCTTGGAACAACTCTTCGTCAGCATTCCCTCGATACAACACCTCTCGAATGGAGCCGTCCCATCCATCCACGGCCCCCACCGCTTCCCCGTCCTCCTCCTCCTCCCATTCATCTTCCTCCTCGTTCTGGTCCTCCTCGTCCTTCTTACCCCACAGCTGGGTCACACACCCTCGGCAGAAGTTGTGCCCACAGCTGATGGACACGGGGTCCTTGAAGTAATCCAAGCAGATGGCACACACCGCTTCCTCCTGAAGGGTCTGCATGGGGCTGGGAGTAGGGGCATAACCAGCCATCTTAATGCCTGCGGCAGGTGTAGTTACCTCAGCTTGGAGCTGCGGAGCGGGGACGCGCCTGCACGCCTGCTCCAGACTGCTCTGGTGAGCCGAGGCAGTCCTCAACCTTGCTCTTCCTCCTCGGCCCCGCAGGGCAGCTTTGATCCCCTCTCTCAGGGTGCGAACGCCCACATCCAGACTCAGCCTCTCTCTGGGATCGGTGGGGACAGACCAGGCTGCAGCCCCCAGCTGCTCGGTCCTGTCACGTCTCTCGCTACCCTCAGGGTGTGCCCTACACTACGGCGTCCGCCTCAGACGCAGCAGCCAGCTACCCGGCCCGAGGCGACGCAAAATGACGTCTCGCTCACGCACACGCTCAGGAGAGACACTCTAGGCTGGCGGAGGACCACGTCTCTATGGTGTGCCAGGAGCCGCGCCGGCCGGGAGTTGGGTGAGCTGGGGGGCGCCCGGGCCGCGCCGCCCGCCCTAGCTGGGCTAGTGCTGCACATTTCAGCCAGCCCCCTCCCCAAGACCCCATTCCCAATCCCCTTCTCAGCTCCCTCGGGCCGGCAGAGCGGCTCTCATCAGGTCAGCGGCGGACGCCGGGAAGCGGCCCGGCTTGGGAGAGGTAGTTTGGTTGGTTGGCTGGTTCTGGATGGGGGGTCAACCCTCGAGGGGGACTGGGTCTCCGAGCTGTTGTCCGGCCTGAGCGGGAGCCCCGGGAAGTTTAGAGGGAAGGGGGATAAATCTCTCTGGGAAGCCCCGCCCGGGCCGGGGCCGAGTTGGTCCACGGCGGTGGGGAAGCTTCGGACACCACCCTTGTGCTGTCCCCTGTCCCGCCGTCCGCGCTTGGGGTGCCTTGGTGGGGATCTGGGCGCCCAGTGCCCCCCGCTGTCTTCCCGGAGTCGCCGGGCCGCAGCTCCACGCAGGCCTCGGACCCAGCCTCCCGGCGCCCGGGCCTGTTTCGCTTGCGGGGCCGCGGCTGCGCAGTATTGCGGCGTCTCCCAGCAAAGCTGCGCCCCGGCGTGGGTCCCCTGAGGGGGCCGGGGCTCAAGTTCCCTTCGGTTCTGCCGCCTGCCTCGGGGTAGGGGTTCCGCGTTCCAGCCCTGAGCTCTGTGAGCTCGGCCGGGAGGGGGCTGGATTTGGGACCACACTTCCTCAACGCCGTGGTTTAGACTTAGAGAGCGGCTGGCCCCTCCTTCCTGTCCCGGTGTCCTCCACTGTCTGTTATGCCCTTTATTCCTGCCTGGGGAGGGAGGGCCGGGGGCGCCGTCTGGGTCTGTTTTCCACCCCAGCGGGGCCCTAGGGCAGTGTCATTTAGACCCCACTCTGTCACCTTTCCTGGAGAGGGGCCCTGATCCAGGGCTGAGAGATTTTTTTGAGATGGAGTCTGGCCGTCGCCCAGGCTGGAGTGCAGTGGCGCAATCTCAGCTCACTGCAAGCTCCGCCTCCCGGGTTCACGCCATTCTCCTGCCTCAGCCTCCCGAGTAGCTGGGACTACAGGCGCCGCCACCACGCCCTGCTAATTTTTTTGTATGTTTAGTAGAAACGGGATTTCACCGTGTTAGCCAGGATGGTCTCGATCTCCTGACGTCGTGATCTGCCCGCCTCGGCCTCCCAAAGTGCGGGCTGAGAGATCTTACAGTGTGAGGGGGAATGAGGCCTTCGGGAAAGGCTTCTCAGGGGTTGTCTCCTTCTGTCTTCTGTCCCTCCAGGTAGGGACAGAACCAGGTCAGGCCTGGACTTGCAGTCCCGGAGAACAGAGGATGGAGATGGGGGTGGTGCTCATGGGCTCTGTGTATGCCTTCTGTGTGGCCTGGTTCTGTGTATAAATGTTCCATCCCAGTGCTGAGGGCCAAGACACCCCCTTGGCTTTGGTGCTGGGGGCATCCTGGGGCAAGGAGTGTAGGCAGAACTCCTCAACGTTGGAGATTTGGGGAAATTGTGTCCCCTCCCTTTTAGACTCCTGTAGCCCCCTGCAGTGGCAAGATCTCAGCCCAGGGCAATCTCCACCTCCTGGGCTCAAGCAATCCTCCCACTTCAGCCTCTGGAATAGCTGGGAACACAGGCATGCACTACCACTCCAGGCTAATTTCTTTAGTTTTTGTAGAGACCGGGTTTCGTCATGTTGCCCAGGCTGAAGCGCCGTGGCTATAGTCACAATTATTGCACACTACCACCTCAAACTCCTGGGCTCAAGTGACCCTCCTGCCTCAGCCTGCAGAGTAGCTGGGACTACAGGCATGCACCACCATGCTTGACTTAACCATTCTTTTTTAGATTTTTTTTTTTTTTGAGACAGGGTCTTGCTCTGTTGCCCAGGCCAAATGCAGTGGTGTGATCATGGCTCATTGCACCCTTGATCCCTGGGCTCAGGTGAACCTCCTGCCTCAGCCTCCCAAGTAGCTGGAACTACAGGTGTGCATTACCACATTGGGCTAATTTTTATTTTATTTTTTTGTGGAGACGAGGTCCCGCTATGTTGCCCAGGCTGGTCTTGAACGCCTAGTTTAAGCAGTCCTATCTCAGTCTCACAAAGTGCGGGAATTACAGACCTGAGTCACTACGCTCAGCCCCATACAAGGTTTTTTGGTTTTTTTACCTGCCCTTCAGTAAGAAGTACATTGCACATACTGATCCAATACAGACCTGCATATATATAACAGAAACAAAATTTCTGCAAACTCTTCTTTCCCTTATGACATCCAAGGCACTCTGATATTTTATTTCAGTAAAATGCTGTTGAAGACCCACGGACGTGACTGCACCCCTCACTAACTGGTCACTGGTTTGGGGAGGAACACCAATGTCCCAGTGGAACCTTGAGAACACCTTGGAGTCCTCCTCTTCCTCTCTGGACCTCAGCCAAACTGTGAGTGGCACAGAGCAAGGACCATATGTATTCTGTTCATTGTTGCATACTCAGTTCATTGACCACAGTGCCAAGCACACAGTGAGCACTCCCTGTGTATCTGCTAAGTAAATCAATGAACAAACCCAACACATTTCAGCAAGTCCTGCTGATTTGTTTCTCCTCCGTTCCAGCCTTACTTCTGCCAGCCTTACTTACTTCCAGCCTCACCCCCATCAGCCTCAGACTGGATAAAAGGAAACCATTTCTCTAAAGGATCACTTGCCCTCTCACTTCAGGCCATCCTGCAGCCACCAGAACCTTCCACATGAAATGAAAGGCTTACCACTTCATAAGCTTTAAGGAAATTCTTGGCCAGGTGCAGTGGCTCACTCCTGTAATCCCAGTGCTTTAAGAGGCCAAGATGGGAGAATTGCTTGAGCCAGGTGTTTGACGCCAGCCTGGGCAACATAGTGAGACCCTGTCTCTTAAAAAAAAAAAAAAAAAAAATTGGCTGGGTGCGGTGGCTCACGCCTGTAATCCTAGCAATTTTGGAGGCTGAGGCGGGTGGATCACTTGAGGTCAGGAGTTCGAGACTAGCCTGGCCAACATGGTGAAACCCCGTCGCTCCTAAAGATACAAAAATTAGCCAGGTGGGGCGGCAGGTGCCTGTAATCCCAGCTACTTGGGAGGCTGAGGAGGAAGAATTGCTTAAACCTGGGAGGTGGAGGTTGCAGTGAGCCAAGATCGTGCTACTGCATGCACTCCAGACTGGGCAACAGAGTAAGACTCCATCTCAAAAATAACAAAAATAAATAAATAAAAAAATTTTTAAAATTACCTGGGTGTGACGGTGTGTGCTTGTAGTTCCAGCTACTTGGGAGGCTGAATTGGGAGGATCATTTGAGCCCAGGAGGTCAAGGCTGCAGTAAGCAGTGATCGTGCCACTGCCCTCGGCCTGGGCAACAGAGCAAGACGCAATCTTTAAAAAAAAAAAGAAAAATCCTGGCCAGGCGCAGTGGCTCATGCTTGTAATCCCAGCACTTTGGGAGGCCGAGGCGGGTGGATCACGAGGTCAGGAGATCGAGACCATCCTGGCCAACATGGTGAAACCCTGTCTCTACTAAAAATACAAAAAATTAGCCAGGCGTGGTGGCGGGCGCCTGTAGTCCCAGTTACTTAGGAAGCTGAGGCAGGAGAATGGCGTGAACCCGGGAGGCGAAGCTTGTAGTGAGCTGAGACTGCATCACTGCATTCCAGCCTGGGCAACAGAGAGAGACTCCGTCTCAAAAAAAAAAAAACCAAAGCCAGGGGGAAGTCCCAACCCTGGGCTTGTCTTCTTTCTCCTCTTTGTGGAGAAGCTCACAGATCCGGGTGCAGCAGAAATGTGACTGCAGCCCAGGCTGCCTCCCTGCGTCTTCTTACCTTCTCCTTGTCCTGCACTGTCACACCAGCGAACGGTAAGATCCACAGGAGCCACACAGCTTTCCCGCAAGGCAAACAGCTGGGGTCAGGGGTCAACCTGCCAGCTGCCCATGCCAAGGGGACAGCTGCCACACCTCACACTGGCCTGGGGCACCATCTTCTACTTGCCTGAGTCCTGCTAACCCTTCCCTCCCGGAGCAGCCTTTGGCCTGACTTCTTGTCCCCAAGGGTGGTCAGACACGAGGCTGAGAGTGCCAGTCCCTCCCATTGCCAAGGGCACCGCTGTCCAACCTTGCCGTGTCTGTGCCTTCACTGGATTCTGAGCTCCTGGCAACTGCATGTAACTTCACCTGTTTCTTGTAATCGGATTTCCTTTGGAGGCGAGCCCAGAGTCCTGCCCATGGAACCACAAAATCCATTTGAGAACCCAAGGGACCCCAGAGCATCTCCACAAGCCCCTGACAACCTGGACAACTGACAACTCCTCCTCCTGCCATCCCCAAGGTGGCCTCCCCACCACAGAACTCCGTGTTCCTTGCATGACTGTTCTTTCTGTTCAGCCTGGGCTCTGCAGAGTGCATCACCCAGCCCCTCACTCCCACCCCGGCCTTCGCACATGCTGGTCTAAGTCGTCTGTGCCTGCAGACATTAAGGTGGAGGAACGTGATTCCACCAGCACCCCACAGCCTGTGAGGAGGTGAACCCAGGGATTGTGTGTCTAAGTCCACGGAGGGATGAACAGGCCCAGGAAGCAGGAAAATCCTCCTGCCCAGGCCTTGCTCCCACCCCCACTGTCTCCCTGCGTGGCACCTTCTGGTCAGTCAGCTCAGCCAAACACAGGCATTCTGGGCCCGGCTGGACTAGCCTGGACACCTGCCTCTCCCTTGGCTCCTTCCTCAGCCGCTCCTGTGACGGGACAGACGGTGAGCCTAGAGTGAGTGCCAAGGATGTGAGTGTAGCCTCTGGTGTGCATGCCACAGTCTCGGGAGTAGGCCAAGCAGCAGGCACGTGATGAGGGCTCTGAGCACCCTCAGGCGCAGAGAAGCAGCCTACAGATCCGGCAGGTCGGGGTGGCAGCTTGGCAGGACTTCTTCCTCCAGATCACAGACAGTGGGAAAAGCAGCCTCCACCCCACAGGTCACTGGCTTTGTGTCCTGACGCTCCTGGGAATGGATTCCCTCCCTTGACCCAGACCCAGGCGGCCTCACCTCAGCCCCAGGGATTCCCGCTGAGGGAGGCCAGGGCGTGTCCCGCGTTGCAGAAGTGCTGAGTCAGATTTCTAGGCTTCAGGCAGCCCTGAGATCCACCCCGCTTGGCACACACCTCTCCTGCTGACCTCTCTGGAGTTGGTCTCAAACCACCAGCTGCTAGCCTTCCCTTGAACCCAGCTGAGAGCCGTGCCGAGGGACTAAGGGGTCCTTGGAGCAGGCCCTTAGAGCCTACCTGGTGCTCAGGCCTCAGGTACCTCCTGTTCCAGAGATAGAATGTTCTGGAAAGAGCAGCTGCAGTGGGTGCACTCAGGGCTGGCTTTCCTCAGCAGTGTTGCTGCCACTGCATTTCTCAGGACTCTAATTTCAGAAATCGCATCCGTGGAAACTCACACCAGTCATCTTATGCTGGAGAAGCCTGCACAAGAGTCTACCTGTGATGGTTCAATTCCAGGTCATGGTGGGGAGATGAGCCCTTGCACACAGCCTGGGGACCGTTTGTCAGAGGTGCAGAGAGGCTGTGCAGCATGGCGGAGTCACACGGACATTGGCAAATCACAGCCAAGGGCCAACTCTGGCCCTCAGCTTCTTTCTGTAAGGCCCAAGAACTAAGAACAGTTCTTAAATTTCAAAAGTGTTGTAACGAAAGAAAACGAGGAATTGTAAACAAAACAAAAAGGAAGATGTGGACAGAGACCATATCAGGCCAGAAAAGTCTAAAATCTTTAGTATCTGACACTTGACAGAAGTTTGCTCACCCCAGGCTAGGAGGCTGGAGCAGAGGCCCCCTGAGTGCCTCTGATGTGGAGATTGAGCCTTATGTCTGTCGTCTTGTGCTGGCACATGGGTTGGTGACCCCAACGTGATCGCAGTTGTCATCCTGCATTCCCTCCCTCCCTTGTGCCAGCAAGTAGATGCACACTGGGGTTATTAATGAGTGCTGCTGTTCTGGTACAGGAGTCCCCCCTACTCCTCGGGAGATGTAGTCCATGACGCCAGCTGATGCCTGAAACCTAAGATGACATGGAACCCGACGGCCATCGATCGAAATACGTTTCTGTTCATGTCCCCGCTCACACATGGAATCCCGTTTCCATCTGAACTGGGCACTTGCCATGTACTGTGGCATCACTTTGGCTGTTAGAGGCGTGGTAGCAAAACTAACACAAAGCCCTTTTTTCTTTATAATTTGAAGGACAGAAGGTCTGTTCTTACTGTAGATTTTTGCAACCTCAATATACAATTTTTTTCTTATTGAGAACATTCCCCTTTTCACTTAAAGGAGTACTTTATGGCTTCTCTTTGGCACACCCGAATTGCTAGCATCCCTACTGTGTGCGTTGGGGTATTATTAAATAAAATAAGGGTGACTTGAGCGGCGTTCTGCCGTATGCAGTTTGATAGCTGAGATGGCTGCTGAGTGACCATGGCAGGGAGGGTGGACAGTGTGGAGACCCCGGACACAGGGATGGAGCAGCATGGCGCCTCAGACCCCGGACACAGGGGTGAAGCAGCATGGCGCCTCAGACCCCGGACACAGGGGTGGAGCAGCATGGCGCCAGATGCCACACTCCTCAAGATGGAGCGCCCTGTACAACTCAGGAACTGCTTTTTTATGGGATTTTCCATTTAACATTTTCGGACTTCAGTTGTTCCCGGGTAACTGAAACCTCAGAAAAGGAAACCAGATAAGGGGAAAGGCTGCTGTGCTGATTTTCCTCTCGAGACCCTGCATTGGGGGCTGGAAACAGATAAAGCAGCATTTCCTATCCTCAGATTGCTTATGGTTCCTGGGGGAATGGATGCAGTTGTCACACAGCTTGTCATGCAACGGACACAGTAATTCATGCCAAGATTAGTGTGATGGGCATTCAGGAGTCACAAGCATCCTCCCCAGTCAGGTGGGTGTGGAGACAGGCTTTTCTGCAGAGCACTGAGGCTAACCATCATTCCATGCACCTTAGCGCCACTGCCATCCCACTTCTCCCATCTACATATATCTTTAAAATCAGCTCTGCTGGGCCGGGCGCGGTGGCTCACGCCTGTAATCCCAGCACTTTGGGAGGCCGAGGCGGGCAGATCACAAGGTCAGGAGATCGAGACCATCCTGGCTAACAGAGTGAAACCCCATCTCTACTAAAAATACAAAAAATTAGCCAGGCGTGGTGGCGGCACCTGTGGTCCCAGCTACTCGGGAGGCTGAGGCGGGAGAATGGTGTGAACCCAGGAGGCGGAGCTTGCAGTGAGTTGAGATCACACCACTGCACTCCAGCCTGGGCGACAGAGCGAGATTCTGTCAAAAACAAAAACAAAAAATCAAGTGAAGAGACAACCAGCAGAATAGGAGGAAATATTTGTGAAGTATTTATTCAACAAAGGATTTGTATC